AAAGCATGACAGTTAACGAAACGCATCAGCCCAGGCCAGCGACAGGCCCTAAACAGAAGCTAGCAGCAAAAACACGGCGGCAGCTACAGACAACAAGCAAATTAGAACCATTGAAGGGGCGACCGCCGAGGGGGTCATGGCCCCACCGCCAACGGGGTCGTCAATCTGACGGGCGGTTTCCGAGTCTGTTCTAAGCCATTCTTTTTGGGGCAGCGCGGGCCGTCTTCTTGGAGGGTGAAATTATCGAACGGGAAAGTTCGAGCATCTTGAAGGGGTTGCCTTGCCGCGCCTCGCCGCTTCCCCGCCCAGATCTCGTAGGTTCCTGAGAGGTCTGGAGGAACCTGACGGGCGTCATGAGGAACCTGAGGGGCATGGCCTTGAAGCAGCCCAAGGCGCTTGGAGGGGACTGCAAGCCGAGCGTTCTGGGCGGTCCGCACCTCGCCGCGCAGCCCCTTTCCGGCGCGCGGTTAGGGGGGGAGGCGGGATAGGAGGTGTAAGGCTGGTGCTTAGGGATGATTTCTGATTGCCATGGTGCAGAGCTGCTTCCACAGAAGCTGTGGCTGTCACAACCCCATGACACACACTTTGCAAGAGGTCCAGAACAGTGCACATACACGAATATGCATGACATTGCTTGATGCAGAGGCCTGTCTTCATGCACAAAGTCTGCAAATACAAAGCCATCAAATACAGAGCAATCACAGGCTCAAAATATCTGAAGCTTGGGCTTTGAGCTTCCTGGCCTTCTTGTGTGACTCCACCCTCTTGTTGGTGACCAGCTGGCGCACCTTGCTGTGCCTTATTGCCTGTGGAAAGGCCCACAGCTGCAGCCAACTGAACATGATATTCCAAATACTGGGAAATGGGTTGAAGCACCGAAAACGAGGGAGTCCAGTAGCTTGCTGCCACAATTTCCAATCTCCTGCACTCACATTGCCACGCCTGTCTGCAAGCCTGTCCCAAGCTTGGAAGAGCTCACTGTCTGTGCATAGGTCAAGTTCAGAGTGTTTTATAGTCTTGCACATCATACTGCAATCCTCAGAGCACAAACAGGTTCTTGTACATTGGACAGCTGGATGCCCCATCACCTCTCACACTGAAGGTGTATTTCATTGCACCACCATCTTGCAAAAACATTTGCAGCTGCAGAAATAACCTTATTCTTGTGCCACCACACTGCAGTGGCACTCCATAGGCTGGGTTGCCATAGGGGTTGTTGAACATGGAACGCAGTAAGAGTTTGATGCATTGGCCAATGTTGCCATCAAGCTGGTTTACAATCTCACTTCTGCACACAAACAGCACCACCCAAGCTGCAGAGTTTGACATCACTCATTGCCCAAGAATGTCAGTGTGGCATAAACTGCCCACAGCTTTCTCGCACCCTTCAAGGACAGCTGGTTCCCTGGGCGCAGCATCTGCATAGATACAGACCCTGTCAAGGATCAGTGAAGGTGCTTGGCTTTGCCAAGTGTGTCTTCATAATGAGGTCATGGTAAGACCCTCCAGCATCTGCACACTCTTCATTTTGTCCACATCCCCATGCACTGCGCTCAAAAAAGCAATGCTGTGATTGGCACCCTTTCTGACCCTTTGCATTCTGCCAACATCCCAGCGCTGTGTTTCTGCAAGGCCACATTGGCATCCAGTTGCTTCTGCTTCTTGCTGGGCTCCACTGCAGCTGGCAGCCAAGAGGTCTTCCTGCAAGCCCACAGATACCATTGGCTGTCCCTTGCTGTGAACACCAAAGGCATTCCCCAGTGTGCCTCCTCTGTTCATGGGGTGTGTCAAAAGGGCACTCGGGGCTAGCACCTGCTTGTATTGCTGAGCAAGGTCTGTGAGATCATGCTGACTTTGGTGTTCAGCTCCATTCTGCTGTCCTCCATGTTGAGAACCCCACGCACCTCCTCAACCACATGCTTTGCAAGCATGGCTGTTGCAACTGGCTGCTGGCAGCATCTACTTCTTTATTGTTGCATGAATGATGGCTCTTTGCTGATCATGCATGGTGCATGTGCATGTGCAGTTGCCTTTCGTATGCACATCCTTCTTGAGAACACAAGGAACAGATTGCACCTGTGCATACACTTGAGCTGCATGAGATGACTGCAACCTTGCCTGCCTGCTCTTTAGCATTGCTTGTACCAGCACAGCCCAGCCTGCACACACAGCCTGAACCACCCAGCCCTCTTGAGCTGACAGCAAGCCCTGAGCTGAACTGTTAGCTGACTCTGTGCGAATGGCAAGTTCACCTGCTAGACTGGCAACACAGGCAATGCTTTTTGAGCATTGCCACCATGCATGGCAATGGGCACTTACATGTGCAAAGCCGCCCAGACTTCACACGTGCTGCTGTCATAGTCATCACATTTGCAAGCCTTACAAACGGCCTTGCATTTGGCCATGTCACTTCTGCTGAGCCATTCTTCCAAGCAAAGCGTCCAGCATGACAAGCAGGCGTGGTCCTGTGAGAAGTGCATCGTTCAACTGTCAGGGCTTGCTGCAGCTCCTTGGCAACATCTATATCTGGGGCTCGTGTGAAGGTGCCTTCTTGAGCCGCTATGGCGCTGGAAGACTCATCAAAAACATGATGCTAATTTTAGCTACTTATTAGCTAGCGACCTGCTAATTCTTCGCTAAATTCCAGCAAAATTACGTTACTTAGCTAATAGAAAAATTGGCTGCAGAGCTTGCAATAACTAGGCAAATTAGTATGGCCTTAGCATGGCTTTAAGATAGTGCTAATATAGTGCTGCTAAATGATTATAAAATAGCCTGTAGTTGGACCGGTGCCGGACGCGCGGCCAGCACGGCCCGGCGGCACGTTTTGGCGAACTTGGCGTGTTGAACAAGCTAGCGCAGTGGTTCTGGACAGGAATACTAAAGCGTAGCGATGCGCGGATGACTCTCCCCGCCAAGAATAAAAGCGGACCCTCCCAGCACTCTAATGTGAAAACTGGGCAACTCGCATTTCTGCTGAAATTCATTTAAACTCAAGCAAAAATTGAAAAACGTCCCCTTGGGAAACGACCCCCCTTTTTAATTTTATGTAACAAGACTTTTGGTAAGTTTAAGCCAATCGACTTTGAAGAGGAAACCCAGTTACAAGTCCCATTGAAGTCTCGCCCTAGCAAGTGGAGTTCGAATTGAGTTTAATTCTGAATGAAAATTGGTGGGGCAGGAATCTTCTGCAAAACCTAATTTGAATAAGTTGAAGTTTACTTAAAACGTTTTTTTTGAATCATGATATCAACATATCTTCGAAGCTAGAAATGGTGCTAGGTATTTCACTGAAAAGTTCTATGTAAATTCAATTTCGGAAACAAACCCTCCTTCCGTGGAACAGAAACCATTTTCGAAGCCTTAGCTTACAAACATAATTGTCACCTGGTTCTAAAAATCAAAGTCGTATTGACTTTCTCGTTGAAAGTTGGAGCTTTCCTAGAGCTAGTCCTGCTGAAGTTCTCTTTCAGTTTTTCTCAAGTCGAAAACTGAAAGAACTGCACTGGGAAAGGAACGCCTCTTTAACATACAGTCTGAAAGAAGAATTAAATCTGTTAATAGAAACGTCCTTGAAAAGGGAGCCCGTAATGACATTCTAATGACGCTAGAAATCCTACTAGCATTCTTTACCTCTGCAACTCCTTTCAAGATCTGATGAGAAGACTGAAAACTTCCCCTCGGGAAATGTTTTTCCCTTCAGCGTTTAATGTGGAAGAGGAACTCCACTGACAGTGTAGCTGAAAGTATCTTAAAAAGGAAGCTGCTTCTTAGGTTCTGTGCAAAAAGTTAATAACCAGCAAGAAGTATGTTCTCGTCAAACTCGATTTAAACTATGACTAGGGAGTTAAATGAAGTCTTTCTTGAAATGAGAACTCCAACTAAAATCCGTTAAGGCAATTTTCAACTCAGTTCTGTTTTAGGAAATGCACTACAGTTCATTTCTTCTTGAAGTTCTGGGCAATTTCAAGGTAAGATGCTTGGAAAAGTGCCTTGTGTAGATCCATTCATTTTTCAAGAGGAGTTCTAAGCCCCTGAAAAGGTGCTGTGTCAAGTACCCAAGAATACAGGGTGGAACCCGCTGTCCCGGCATTGAAGGAACCACTTGAAACGCCTCGGGCGTGAGTCCGCAACATCAACCGCGCGGACCCTGTCCAGTTTTTCTATCAGACGCATATCATTTATTTGTTTGATCCCACGAGAGTCTGTTCCAATTCAACAAAAATTGCGTAGGAGTAGTGCGATTTCAATCTACTGGGCGTTTCTCATGGCCTTCATTTACTCTATCAGGTCGTTTTTGGTGACGAGAAGAATCAATTATCTTCTAGCTCGATGAACTGAGAAAATACAATGCATTCTATCTGCTAGGCTGCCATTACAATTTCACACATGTCAAAACGCGCGCCTATTTCAAACGTGTCAAAGCGTGCAAAAACGTGCCAGAGCTCTCATCGAACACCGCCAAGTGCCGAAATACACGCGTGAGCTGGAAGGCCTAATCTCCAAAGGTCAGCGGGTTGCAGTGTAGGTTGCGTGGATTTGCGATGCTCCATCCTGAGGTTTTGAGCCACAGTTTGCAGCACGGATGATAAAGAAGGCTATCAACCAGGAAAAGGATTGAGCAGATTGTGGCCTCGGGACTCGAATTTTTTGGCTAAGTGAGCAATTTATTGGAAAGCGCCAAGCGCGATCTGGTTTGTTTGTTCTACACTTGCGTTCAACGGCAAAGTGGTAGCACAGCCAGGGCTAAGATCTGTGGATGTCGTTGCAGAGGCAATTCGTGTGCGTAACAGGGCGTGTGAGCCCAAATGATAAATCAGGAGCGCCAATCGCATCACGCGTTGCCCTTCGCTGCCTTCAGCAAATGCAAGCTGCAGCAGTTCAAGCACGGGCCCAAATGAGGCGTGCAATTGCAACCTGAATGGCACGTCTCTTCGCATGATTGAAGTACATGCAGCACATCAACGAGACCACTTTGTGAACAAGCACAAGTACAGCCAAAGACACTCTAGCATAGCTGTTCGCATGGCGTTTTAGCTGTCGCGGCCACACAGCTGCCCAGTGAGCTGCGCAGGCCTGCTACCATCCAAGTTGGTGTGGCAGTTTTCTTGAACCATGTTCCAGCAATTGTTTCAAGCAACCACTGGTTCGCATTTTGTTTCTAGTTTCAGGCCATGTTGCCGATGCACGTCGAGCTTTGGCCCCAGCAGTTCAGCTTTATTTGCCCAACACAGTCTATGAGCTAGAGCGGTACAAGCAGATGCGCAATATATGCCCATGCCGCTCAATATTTGGTACACGCTTGTTTACCCTGTTTGCGCCAAAGGTCGGAGCGGCCCTCTTTCATGCACTCGCCTTCACTGTCTGAGTACTTGCGCCGGATGCTGCATTATGCTGGCTACCCAGAATTGGCAGCGCATCCCGTTTGCAGTGAAGCTCGGAGATGAGGCGCAGATGGACATAGACTACACGTTCGCGCAGATGTTGTACTTGTGCATTGCACCACGGACTGCCCCACCCAAGCATGTGCTGCGGGTTGCCATGTTCGGTCCAGCCGCAGGAAGGTGTATCAGCTCACATCGTACAGAAAGCAGACCAAAAATCAGTGGGTCCAGACCTCAGGTACCAAACGTTGGTGGCCTGAATTTTCTTAAGTTTCCGCCAAGGCCAGAGACGACCCTGCTTTTGTCGTGGTTTGTGACCCAGATGCTGGCATGTTGTGATGGACAGCTGCCGTGTGTATCAAGGTGCTGGTCTTCTTCTTGATAGTTGCTGCCATTGCGTATGGCATTGCCTTTCAAGCGAGAGGCCTTGGCAAACAGCAGCCACCAGATAATTGCTTGGTGCTGACTGCAGCCAGGCACAGACTTTGTTCACATCCTGTTGCGGTTCATTGTTGTTCACTTCCTGCTGCTTGGCGTAGTGATTGCCACTGCCCGAGTCTCAGCTTCAGCTGTCCAGTTTGTTTGGCAGCTCCCGCCTGGCAAGGTATCTTGGTTCGTGGCCAACAACTACATGAGGGCACAGTCCTTCCATGGTGTGGAACAGAAAATGGTCAGTGCCTTGCAAAGAGGCGCATCCAGAGAAAGTGCTTGGCGTGCAGGAGTGGATGTATGCCTTCGACATTCACTGCAACTCCTTCTTCCCGCTTTTCCTCGTGCTCTATGTTGCGATCCAAGTCTGAACACTTGCTTGTTAATTATTGTGCATGTAAGCCCTCGAGCCCTCCAGGTTCTGCATTATTTCCTCCTGCCCCTCGTGTCGCAGCCCAACGTCCTCGCAGCTGCCTGCAGCCACTTGCCAGAAGAAAGACCTGCCCGGCACCACGATGATAGAGCTGCCCCTTCAGGCAATCTGCTTTATGCTGTGGCAATGTGCTACTACCTCTATATCATGTCTCTGGGGTCCGCGGCTTCCGGAACTATCCAAAAGAGCACGCCTTTGCTGCTCACGTTTGCATAGTTTGCCCCTCGCATGGGAGGTACGGCATGCTGCCTTTCTTGGAACGCACGGAGGTGATTCTGTACCCTGCAGGACGGGGAAGTGCAGCTTCCAGCCTGTGATTGCTCCCTTTGCTTAGGTGTGGTGGTACTCTTGGCCCTCGTTTTGAGCTGTTTACGCGCCAGGGCCTTGTCCAGTTGACAGGCGATGCGTTTGTCTTGTTGCTTGCCACAATGGAACAGACTCAGTGAAGTGTAGTAGTGCAAGACAATCGGACATGAGCAATGTAAGTGCAGCAGGAGAGGTTGCAAAGCAGGATGGTTAGCCACGAATGCACAGCCCTCTTCGCTGCCGCAGTGTGTGGACGCAAGCCAAAGTAGGCAGACCAGACGTAGCCTGGGTTCAGCATCTAGGGGGTCCGAGCTAGTACATTTTGTCAGATGCTTTGTGCTGCGTGAATCTTGCCAGGTGAACTTGACAAATGTTTCATTGCAGTACTTCGGCATTTGAGGGGCAGACCAGTTAATGCGGAGAGATCGAAAGCACATGTGTAGCTCACCTCAGCCTTGGAAAATGCAACGTGAGGACATGCAATGCGTGCAACGTGCAATGTGTTCACAATGCGTGTCGGCTTGCTGGCTCGTGTGAACTTTGAATCTGTTCCCGCATTGGCTTTTTCAGCGCCCAGACCCCAGAAAAGGAACCAGGCAAGCGCTGGAGCTGAGTTCGTCCTTTGGGTTTGTGCTTTAAGTGCTTTAGCTTTGGAAAGCTCCTTGGAGTTCGAAAGCTCCGTACAGGCGTCATGCTACTGCTTTGAGACTGCCTCCAGCCGCTAGCCATCATGCCTCGTTGCAGGCTTAGATTATATGTCAGTGCCTTGTGTGAGTTCCCGTCGTGTCACGGTGAGGTCCGGATTTCGACGAAGAGGCAAGGAAGCTCTTTGCTTTGCTCAACTTGCCGTCCGGGGCTGCCTCTGACGAGTCTTCGCGCTTGCATGGCTGGCGCCTCAGCCGGAGCTGTCTGTCAGATGCTTTTGGGTTGGAGCGGAGTGTTTTGGAGTGCCGAGGCTACCACAACCTGGACGCTGTATGGCAGCACCCCACGACAGGTGCCCAGGTGTTCATTGGAAATGCCACCGCCAGCAGCCAGCCCAGGACTCAGCTGAACGTGTTAGAGTCTAGCTCCAGAAACAATGAAACAAGAATTGGGCGTAGCACAGCTCTTTGAGCCTTCGGAGGTTCGCAAGTACGAGTTTCGAACCAACACTCCAGCAGCCTTTGCGCACATTCCTTCTCACCGGGTAGACAAGCAAGGCGCAGGCAGGTCTAGCTTTCGGGAAGCGTTCGCGTGAGTTCTGCCATGCCGCATTCCCTAAGGACGGATCCCTTTTCATAAGCCTTAAGATGCCGTAAGCCTTCGGTTTCAGATGGTTTGAGGGTTCCACAGTGTTAGAGAATCCAGTCCTACAAGGCCGGCGTACTCAAGCGATACAACACGTGGGGCAAGCACAGGCAAGCACGCGCAAGCACATTGCTGGGAACGGTTGTTACAAGCCAGCCTCAGAAATGCAAAGATTCCAGAAGAGAAGGCGATTCATTCAGGGTGCATTATTGCCAAAGAAACTCCAACCATGACAAAGAATCTGTAGAATCCTTGGGAGGGTAAAACGTGTTCCCGCTGAATGCTGTGACCAGTCTAGAACTGGACAACATTCAGAAACGCATGAAATATCATGTTGTTGCAACCCAAAATGTGTTATTCTCGTGGGAAAAACTGAAAGCCCTCGCTAAGGAGAGAGATATTGCGCAAAAATCGCGTGACGCATATCGCTCAAAGCTTAGTAGCACTCGCTTTCCTTGATGCACTGGCACGGTCAAGTCAGACCAAGGTGAATTGCACGAGCGACATGTCCAACACCTTCGATGGAGATCCAGCTGTTGCGTATTTCCGGTTCGTTGCTTGGCTGCAGCTCTGAGGTCTATCGAGACGGTCTTGCTGTCTTGTTTTCGCACAGCTTCGACTGGTTCTTTTTGCTCAGGATATATACAAGTTCTTTTCCGCCTTGGACTTGCGCTCCCACCGGGGTGTATTGGAGTTCTTTTTGCCTGTCTTCCAATGGATTGATGAAGCAGTCAGCTCAGGACCTGAGGGCTTGAGAGCTTTGCTATGCTTTGCTTGTTTATTTTGCTTGGCTCGATCTTGTCGCTTGAGGACACAGCGTGTTGATCCATTGCCTTGCCGGTGCCCATCGAGCAGGCGTTCCATTCCACGCATTCAAGTTGTCAAACGTGCCGGTGCAACGCTTCAGGCACAACTGGTTCGGTCCTTAGGGTCCTACTGGGCACGGCTCGGGCACCTGGCCGGTTGGCCGGTGCCATGGGTAGTGAAGCCGAGGTGTGGCCTATGTTATGCATGCAGCAGATTTGGATCACCAAACTGCCATCGTGGCCTGCAAGCGTTGCCGGCCAGCGGTGGACCCCATCGGTGGCACCCCCAGCTCCAGAGCGCTCTGAGACTCTAGCGCGAAGCATAGGATAGGCACGCAGCTAAGGCGATCTCACAACTCTTTTGGCGCAGCTAGATGCCGCTCGCCAGGCGTGCGGCTCCTAGAGCTTAAGCGGGGATTGAGTGGAGATTCGAACTGAAGCCGATGCCCAAGGAGGAAGAAGTGACGCAGTGTCACGCGAATTCGACGTATCGACGCAGTGTGGAAGGTTTCCCTTTGCAGCGCTTTCCTGCAACCAGAACAGACCATGGCGGCAACAAGTGCTGAAAGTCAGAGCGGTTGTGTCGTAACGAAGGTCTGACAGAGCCGATCGTGCATCAGCTGGAACAAGCCGTAAAGGGCTCAAGCAGTCATGGAGAGGTCGGAGCTGGAGCATGACTTCTTAGCATCTTGCACTGCAGTTAATGTAGTGACACAGTGCGACAGTCCACCTTTGACCAAGGACAATGCCAAAAGTTTCAATTGGCCGGCTGTCAAAGAGATGTTGGAGGAGGGTGCATCATCAACCCTAGTGTGAGGCTTCTGCTGGCTGTGCCCTCCGCAGAACAGGCGACACCAGATTTGATCAATGTCCAGCCTTCAATGCGATGGACGGCTCTACATCAGGCTCAATAGTTTGCATCGATCAGCGGCAGCCTGCCTTGCGATGTAGGCGGCTTTTGATGGGAACAAGGATATTGCGACGTACCTCTTGGAACAAGGCTTCTGAGCACTCGGGCGCGGCATGGCAAGCCTTGCCATGTCAGGTGCCGACCCTCTTGCGCAGACCCGCTCGGGCCAAACTCCCCTAGAAGTTGCCAAAAACGAGGCTGAGCGGCCAGAATGCGAGGCAAAAGTTTGAGGGTTGGCCCAATGCCAGTGCCAACCAGTCCCAGCCAGTGCCAGCCAGTGCCAGGCAGTGCGCAGAGCCATTGCGGAGCAGATCAAAGAATCCGAGGAAGCTGACGAGCCGCCTAAGAAGAAGGTCCACGCCCGGCTGCTTTTGCAAGTGATTCTTGGCGTTGGGCAGGCCAAGAAGATGCCAAACTACAAGATGAATATCAACAGCGCGGTCGACAAGGACATGAAACCAGACACAGAGCTGAACTTTCAGGGTCTTTTGTCACACCTTGCGAAGGAGTATGAGGGGAGTAGCCTCGAAGACATTGTTGCAGCGCCGACATCAGCTCTGCAAGGCCTTGCACTAAAGGGCAGGGATGTCCTGAAGTGCCTTGGTGGCATGTAGCGATGTAGCCGGCATTCGGATGTTGGACGCTTGGGCACCCAGTTATGCACCGCATCCACGCGGCTGCCTCCTTCCACATGAACGCATGCACACACTCGCATTGGCGCGGTAGCGTTTTCCCCCGACCCTGAGGAAGTTCAAAGTCCACACCATCGGCTTCCTGGCACTCGTTTTGCATCTTGTTTCGTATGTGTTTTGCATGCCCCACATTTTGGATTGCAGACATTGCTACCCAGCTACTTGAATTTCGGCGTGAGGTGATTTGGGGAAGTGGAAGTTCTACCGCATCTCCAAGGCCATCCTCGGCCTGGCATCTCTGGAGCAAACAGATAAGCGGGAAGAAGGCGCAGCATTGAACATCAACAAGGCGGGGAGCGTGGAAAACAGAGACATGCGAGCCAAAGAGACAGTTGTGAGGCCATGGACAAAAAGCATGCCTCTCGACGCACGTCGGGCTTCTCTTGCTTGCACGCAAGCGCTCAGAGAATGAGTGAGGGATGCAGAGGATTCTAAAGAGGAGTCAGGTGTGAGATTGAGTGAGGGATGGGCCTGAGGAGTGCAAGTCGCTGAAGGAAATTCTGGAGCTTCCACCCTCAGCGCTGCAGGGCCTTGCCGGATGGGCGGATGCAGAGCTGGCGAAGGCACCGCGGCACCGAATCGGCGTTGACAGGGTTTGCTTGCTTGCGGCTTAGGTCGGCGTCACCACCATTGCTAAGCTAGGTGCCGCCTTCAGTGAGACACTTGTCTTCACAGCCGACTGAGCTGAGGTGACTGGAAGTACGCGAAGTGGTCCGAATGGATTTCCGAGCTTTCCAGCTTTGAAAACACAGACTTCTCTAGCCTTTGAAGCATAGCGCAGACAAGGGCTGAGCTGGCTCTAGATGATCGGGGATCAAGCCCTTCTGAAGAATTCGGGCGACCTGTCAAAATTGATTTGCCATTTGTACGGCGGCATTGCTGCTGGTATGGCGTGGCTTGTGGAAAACTGTGAAGACGGAGTTCAGCAGGGTGCGCGCAATCCTGTGCAAATCTAGTCTTTGCTGAACCGGCTGTTGTTTGGCTTGGGCACAAGTAGCGGTCCCGCCCACACAAACTGACAGATAGATTTGCATATGTTTGCATGCCCACATCAGCATGTTCAGAGATCGGCAAAGCAGGGCGCGCCGGCGATGAGGGTGTTGCAGAGATGGCACCGGCAAATTTTGTGAAGGTGTCGGCGCTGACGCCCGATTCCTTGAATGTGGATCTTGTGGTGAAGGCCAGGCCTCAAGGTTTTGCAGCTGGAGGCACTGGAGGCATGCAGACCTCAAGGTTAGTGACTTGTTAGCCAGAAAGGTACTGAGCTGTGACGCTCAGTTGCATTGCTTATCCAGCGGCACCCAGTTTGCCTGCGTGACTGTGGGCGACGAAACTGGCTTTGCCGCAGCCCCACCTGGATTGTGCATTCCGCTCCGCTTTTGGATGGCACGTGCTTTGGCAGGTTTTGCTGAGGCTTGACTCCCAACAGGCAGGTCCGAAGAAGGTCCAACAGAGAAAAAGAGCGAGATAGAGAGAGAGAGAGAGCGAGAGATGTCAATGTACATGTAGAACTATACTTTGTCATGTGCATCGCTTGTATACTACTGCAGGCCTTGAGCTCAGTTCCATTACTACAGAGCCCACTGGAAAAGGTGATGTGCAGACACTACATGTTCAACTGTTTATGACCAACATCACAGCACTTACACGTGTTTTTAATTGTCACTCCGATTTTAACGAGAGCGAGAGAGGAGAACCGTGCGAAGAAGTGGATTGAGCCTTTGTAAATCTTTACAAGGTTCAGTTTGACCGGTGTGTCAATCCAATCAATCCATATCGATCTTCGCAGGCTCGCCTTTGCGACCCTGGGACGACACTGGTGCTCCGAGCCGCACGCGCTGAGCTCTTCCACGGCCAGTTGCGCCTGGAACTGGGCAGGCAAGGGCCACTACACTGACGGAAGGGGTAGGATGTCAAGATGTCAAGGCTGCAAACGGTAAAATTATTGTGTTGGAGTGAGTCGATAACTGGTGAAACATGTTGGCGCCAACCCCGGGGTTCGCCCACCCCCAACATTGTTTAGGGTTCAAGCTGGCCCCACATACTGGCCCCACCAACAGTGTTAGGGCTTATGTTGGCCCCCAGACGCCTTTTAGGGTTCATGTTGGCCGCCACCGACACCTTCGGTTTATGTTGGCCTCCAGACCTTAGGCTTATGTTGGCCTCCAAACACCTTTTTAGGGTTTATGTTGGGCCTACCAGCACTGCACTGTTTAGAATTTGATGACTTGTTTTGGGGTTTATGTTGGCCTCCAGGCGGCCGGGGACATTGGGGGGCGGGCAAACCTCAGGGTCTTAGCGAACATGTTTTGAAAGGAAGGGAGGCCGATGTTTGAGCACAGCGAGCATTCTGAGGGCCCGAGACCACCACTTGCAATCGGCGGAATGCCCCTGTGGCAGGTGGAGCAGAATAGCGCGCGTGTCCAATGCGGCGTTTACTCCCAGTGACAACGATGTGTCTGCAGTTCGGCCCTTGGAAAAGCTCAGAGTTACTGGATTGCACAAAGCACCTGCAAGGTGAAGTATGGCCTGTAACACAGGCTGCTGACACGGTGCAGCTGTAGCTACGGGTGCCGCTCACTGCGAGAACAATTGTCAGCGCACCGGCTGGTATTGAAATTGAAATCGGCATTGAGCAACTTTGGCAGCATGCTTGCCTGTGTAGGTGTGAGCTGCTCGAGCAAGCCCGGAAGTGACGCCCAGTGTGAAGCGCCATGGGAAAGACGCGCGTCATCTCCAAGGGTTACCGCCACGGTACCCGTGACAAGTATTCCAAGAAGTACAGGACCAAGGGTAGACCCGGTCTGGCTCGGTACCTTGTGAACTTCAAGCGGGGCGACTATGTGGACATTGTGGCGGATCCGTCCATCCAGAAAGGCTTGCCATATTCCTTCTACCATGGCAGGACTGGCATCGTGTTCAACGTGAACCGCAACGCTTTGGGAGTCGAGATGACCAAGATCGTGGGCAACCGTCAGCTGCGCAAGCGCCTCCACGTGCGCATTGAACACGTGCGCAAGTCTCGCTGCAACGAAGCCTTCCTGCACCTTGTGAAGGAGAACGACATGAAGAAGCAACAAGCGAAGAAAGAGGGCAAGAGCATTGTGTGCAAGCGAGTTCCAGAAGGCCCCAAGCCCATGAAGACGGTGACCGCGTCGCCAGAGGATGTGGAGGTGCTGGCTCCCCTGCCTTTCGTTGAGAACTACTTCTAGGACCATGCAGACGCATGAGGGTGACATCGAGCAAGCCGAAGAAAAGGATTTGCATTTCCGCTGGCAATACCGCATGTTTTGTTTCTGAGGCCAGCCAAGCTGCAAAACCGACTCAATAGCACATGGCGTAAGTCATAAGTTGTTCAGTCACTGAGAAGGGCGGCTCCTCTTAAGACGGTTGCGCATGATTGTTCTCAGCATTGCAGTGGGAGATTGCGTCTCAGCTGCCTGGCTTGTCATTCCTGTCGTGAGATTGCGCATGCCAAAGATGGTGAAACTGCAGACAAGGCGGACAAGGCGCGCTTGGAACTTGGCGGCATTCACACTAGGTTGCAGCTAGGCTTCCCGCAGGGCTTGCCGCTAGGCTTGCCGCTAGGCTTGCCGCTAGGCTTGCCGCTAGGCTTGCCGCTAGGCTTGCCGCTAGGCTTGCATGCTTGCCTGTGTAGGTGTGAGCTGCTCGAGCAAGCCCGGAAGTGACGCCCAGTGTGAAGCGCCATGGGAAAGACGCGCGTCATCTCCAAGGGTTACCGCCACGGTACCCGTGACAAGTATTCCAAGAAGTACAGGACCAAGGGTAGACCCGGTCTGGCTCGGTACCTTGTGAACTTCAAGCGGGGCGACTATGTGGACATTGTGGCGGATCCGTCCATCCAGAAAGGCTTGCCATATTCCTTCTACCATGGCAGGACTGGCATCGTGTTCAACGTGAACCGCAACGCTTTGGGAGTCGAGATGACCAAGATCGTGGGCAACCGTCAGCTGCGCAAGCGCCTCCACGTGCGCATTGAACACGTGCGCAAGTCTCGCTGCAACGAAGCCTTCCTGCACCTTGTGAAGGAGAACGACATGAAGAAGCAGCAAGCGAAGAAAGAGGGCAAGAGCATTGTGTGCAAGCGAGTTCCAGAAGGCCCCAAGCCCATGAAGACGGTGACCGCGTCGCCAGAGGATGTGGAGGTGCTGGCTCC